GCCTTGTTTCCAGGGTAGAGCTACTATAAATAAAGCTTCTATGAACATTCATGTCCAGGTTCCTGTAACAAATTTTCAGGAGTGTGATTGCTGAGTTCCATGATAAACATATGTTTGCCTTTATGAGAACCTGCCAGACTGTTTTCTAAAGTTTTATTTACCACCAGCAGTGGATAAGAGAACCCTCACCGGCATTTGTTTCTTTCTTCCTTTTTTTTAAAATTTCAGATTAATGTGGGGGTACAAACAACTAGGTTACAATGTTTGCGTTTGTTAGGTAGAAGTCCCTCTTGCAGTTGTGTCCCAGACCCAAGAGGTGTGCCATACACCCTTACATTGTGCCTATTAAGTGGGAGTGCACCAGTCCCCCTCTCTCCTCCTCTACCCTCTTCTCCCTCATTCCCCTTCCCCTCAGCTTGAATTGAATTTTTTCTTTTTCTTTTTTTTCTGAGGCAGAGTCTTACTCAGTCGCCCTGCTTTTCCGTTCTTTGAGACAATGTCTCACTTTGTTGCCCTTGGTAGAGTGCTTTGGCTTCACAGCTCACAGCAACCTCAAACTCTTGAGCTTAAGTGATTCTCTTGCCTCAGCCTCCCAGCTGGGACTACAGGTGCCCACCACAATGCTCAGCTATTTTGGTTGTTGTTGTTGTTGCAGTTGTCTTTGTTTAGCAGGCCTGGGCCAGGCTGGAACCCACCAGCCTCAGTGTATGTGACTAGCACCATACTCACTAAACTACAGGCACCAAGCCATGCTTTTCCATTCTTGTGATACTTTATTAAGAAGAATATGTTTCGGCTCGGTGCCTGTGGCTCAAGCGGCTAAGGCACCAGCCACATACACCTAAGGTGGCGGGTTCGAATCCCCAGCCCGGGCCCGCCAAACAACAAGGATGGCTGCAACCAAAAAATGGCCGGCACTGTGGCAGGCGCCTGTAGTCCCAGCTACTTGGGAGGCTGAGGCAGGAGACTCGCTTGAGCCCAGGAGTTGGAGGTTGCTGTGAGCTGTAATGCCACGGCACTCTACTCAGGGGGACAGCTTGAGGCTCTGTCTCCAAAAAAAAAAAAAAAAAAGATAAAATATTTTTCTTCTGGGTAAATGCCTAGTAATGGATTTGTGGGATCAAATGGGAGGTCTAATTTGAGTTCATTGAGAAGTCTTCATACTTCTTTCCTAAGAGGCTGTATTAGTTTGCAGTTCCACCAACAGTATAAAAGTGCTCCCTTCTCTCCACATCCGTGCTTTGGGACTCACCAGCATCTGGTACCTCATTGTGGTTTTGATATGCATTTCCATAGTGACTAAATGATACTGAGAATCTTCATCTACACAGGAACCAGCCATACAATTTCTTTGGTTAAGTTGTTAACCATTTTAAAAATTCAAATGTTTTCTTACTGTTTTGTTTCGAAAGTTCTTTATATATTCTGCATATGAGTATTGTGTGAGCTATGTGACGTGGAAATATTTTATCTCAATCCGTAATTTTCTTTTCATCATGTTAACAGTAGTGAAGGAAAATTTGCTATGGTTGAAGAAATGCTAGAAGGGCAGTGTGAGTGGAGGGTGGAACATGAAGAAAGTGGTATGCAGTGAAGCTGGAGAGAGAGCTGGGAACTTAGAGACCACGTTAAGGTGTTTGGCCTTTATTCTAAGGGCGATGAGAAGCTACTGAAGGTTATTAAGAAGAAGGGTGACATGAATGGATGTGTGTTATGTGGGGAGGGAGTTGTTGATTATTTTTAGAGATAAAATCTGTTATATTTGTTTTCTATTTGTTCTGAAGCTTAGTGTTTGCATTTTACATCTTTTGTCATCCATTTGTTTTCAAAATGTATTTTCTTTTTTTACTTATTTTCTTTTTCCTTTTTTAAAAATTGTTTTTTTTAAAGCTTTTTGAACCTTTTTTCTTTTTAATCAAAGGCTATTCTCTGATGTGTTTTTCTATTTCAAGTAAACAATATTTAGTTAAATTTTGCATTTTTTATGGACTGACATTCTTGGAGGTTTAAATGTTTTAAGTTTATCTTGATATTTATTTTCTGTTTGTCCTCATGTTGTTCTTGCCTTTTTAGGGGGGAAACCAGTTCTCTCTCTCTCTGTGTGGCTCAGGATAGAGTACAGTGGTGTCATCCTAGCTCATGGCAACCTAAAACTCTTGGGCTCAAGCAATCCTCTTGCTTTATTTAGCCTTCCAAATAGTTGGGACTACAGGCAAGTGCTGCCATCCCTGGCTAATATTTATACACACACACACACACACACATATATATATATTTTTTTTTTTTTTTAGAAATGGGGTCTCACTGTGTTACCCAGGCTGGTCTCAAACCCCTGGCCTCAAGTAATTCTCCCATGTTAGCCTTCCAAAGTGCTAAGATTAAAGGCATGAGTGACCACATCCAGCCCTCTTTTTTGTTAATGAAATAGGTTATTTTTGTGTTGTTGTTTGTTTGTTTAGACACGAGTCTCACTATTTCACCCTCGGTAGAGTGCTGTGGTTGCTGTCACAGCTCACAGCAACCTCCAACTCCTGGGCTTAGGAGATTCTCTTGCCTCAGCCTCCCAAGTACCTGGGACTACAGGCGCCCGCCACAACACATAGCTATTTTTTTGTTGTAGTTAGGTCAGGGCCGGGTTTGAACCCACCACCCTCGGTATATCGGGCCAGCACCCTACCCACTGAGCCACAGGCGCTGCCCAATGAAATAGTTTTTAAAATTCTATTGTGTCTAGTCATGTATAGTGTCTTACATCTGTAATCCTCACACTTTGGGAGCACAGGGTGGATGGATCTCTTGAGCTCAGGAGTTTGAGACCATCCTGAGCAAGAGTGAGACAGTATCTCTACAAAAAAATAGAAAAATCGGGGCAGAGCCTGTGGCTCAGTGAGTAGGGCGCCGGCCCCATAAACCAAGGGTGGCAGGTTCAAACCTGGCCCTGGCCAACTGCAGCAAAAAAATAGCTGGGCATTGTGGCAGGCGCCTGTAGTCCCAGCTACTCAGGAGGCTGAGGCAAGAGAATAGCTTCAGCCCAGGAGCTGGAGGTTGCTGCAAGCTGTGACGCCACGGCACTCTACCAAAGGTGATAAAGTGAGACAAAAAAAAATAGAAAAATTAGCCAGTTGTTATGGCAGGCACCTGTAGTCCCAGCTACTCAGGAGATTGAGGCAGGAGGATTACTTGAACCCTGGAGTGTGAAGTTGTAGTGAGTGAGGATGAGGCCCTGGCACTCTAGCCTGGGCAACAACAGAGTAAGACTGTCTCAAAAAAGAAATTTCATGGTATGTTCTCTGTTGGACTTTTAAGTCTCCTGTGCATTTTATGAGAGAGAGAGAGGGAAGAGATCATTCTAGGGAAGATTTGGATTTACATTTAAACTAATGTTTATTCTGTACCAGCAATGGGCCAGTTCCTGGGCACAACTCCTCCATGTGGTCATTAGATTAGTTCTTTCAAGCTTCAAGAAAAGTTGCTCCCTGGGTATAATATTCTGGTAATGTGCATTAAACCACAAGTAAAACATGTTTGAGTTGTGATCCCAGCTCTATCAGTTGGTAATTGTGTCATCTTGGCCAAGGATGCATATATTTTTTGAGATTCAGTTTCCTTGTGTATAAAATGAGGAGAAGGAAGCTTCTCAGCTTATTTTACAGGATCACTATTCAGATCACATAGAAATAATTTATATAGGTGTGTTATAAAAATTGCAATGCAAAATGTTACTACAGAATTTAATGAAAAACTTATATTCACTCTTCTCATACCTTTTAAAAATAGGCAAATTTCATTCCTACCTCATCTAAACCATAATTTTTCTAAACTGAAAAACTCTTCAGCCCATTTGTTATCTTTCTGATCATTTCAGCAGCTCTTTCCCTGAGCCATCGCTGTGATTAGAATGTATCCAGTCCACACCAGTGCGTCAAGGCCTACTCCTCACACTTCCCGCTTATAACAACATGTTTTCTACAACAATTTCCCACTCACATTTACTTGCTCCATCTTCTGAAATCCTAAACTCTCTTTGGGTCTCATACTGTTGTAAATATTTGTACACGTTCACTAACTTTACCCGAGTAAAGCTCCTTCAAGGAATATTTGCTTCATCTCAGTATTTCTAGTGCTTTGTCTGAGACTTGGCACCGAGTAAGTTCTCAGTAAATGTTGATTAAATGAATGAAAGGAGAGAGTATGTGGGTCACAGAAGGAAAGTTGTGTCTCTGAGCAGCAATACTGAGAGCATCATCTTTGTGCAGGTGCCTAAGGGGTAAAGCCCAGTATGTTGGGCTCGCAGACCCTAAACTCTAAGTCCCATATCCCCTTTGCTGATGCAGATGTCATTCAGATTCGTCACTAAACAACTAAATATGCCTGGAGAATTGGGAAGACTTTTCAGACTGATAGGTGTGTTTTAAAGCATAAATAGTTTCCTGGAGTTAAGTGGGGAAGGAATTTAGAAAAGGTTAACAGTGCAGGATTCATATGAGAATTTTCTAAAATCCTAATTTGAGTATGGTATGCAGGTCCTTTCTTCTCCCATCACACCTGCCACTCTGCACTCATAATAAGTACTGAATTACTTAATTTTCCTAGGCATTTTCTTTCCTCTGAGCCTTTGTCCATGCTATGGTCCATGGAATGCCTTGTTTCTATGATTTTCTTTAACCTGGTTAATTCCTGAGTGTCCTTTAGCTTTTAATATATAAATGTCACCTTCTCTGTAATACCTTCCTTGGCCTGACCTCCCAGGTCTAAATTAAGTGCCCATTCTCTCTGTGTTCTCACAATATGCTAAATTCAACTTCCTGGAAGCACCTGTAAAACTACTGAAATTTCTTTCAGGCACCAAGCCTATCTTCTTGGTTAATCTCAGGGCCCAGAACAATACCTGGCACTGAATGAACCTCAGTAAATATTTCTTGAATGAATGAATCTCACAAGAATGCCTATTGCAAAGAAAGATTGAGAGCAGGTACCTGTCTGCTTTCTCTCCACATCAGCATTCTCCTGGTGTGCAGCCTGCAGACGTGAAGGAAATTGTTGAGAAGGGTGTACAGAGTCTTGTGATTGGCCGAGGGATGAGTGAGGCCTTGAAGGTAGGTATGGGTGTGCACAACATTCCTGAAGGCAGGGGGGATCTCTGGGACTTTTAGAAGTGTGTCATTCTTGGGAGTTCATCTCTATATACCATGCACCTTCATTTTGCTGACCAGGATAGAGTAATGGCTGCATACACTACTCTGCCTCATCAGGATAGGGCTCTCGAGTCTACCTAACGCTGCGACTGTCATTTCAACTGTTTCTTGGAAATGCCTCAATCCTAGAATTTCTTTCTTTATTTCTTTCTTTTTGAGATAGAGTCTTATTTTGCTGCCCTTGGTAAAGTGCCATGGCATCACAGCTCGCAGCAACCCCCAACACTAGGGCTCAAGTGATTCTCTTGCCTCAGCCTCCCAAGTAGCTGGGACTACAGATACCCATCACAATGCCTGGGTAATTTTTCTATTTTTAATAGAGATGAGTTCTCTCTCTTGCCCAGGTTGGTCTCAAACCTACGAGCTGAGGCAATCTACCTGCCTTGGCATCTCAGAGAACTAGTATTATAGGCGTGAGCCACCATGCCAGCCAATCCTAGAATTTCTGAATTGGCACAGTTGCCAATATTTTGTCCTTTATATTTTAATACTACTTTATGTCATTATACTATTTTTTTTTTTTTTGAGACAGAGCCTCAAGCTATTCCCCCTGGGTAGAGTGTTGTGGCATTATAGCTTACAGCAACCTCCAACTCCTGAGCTCAAGCAAGTCTCCTGCCTCTGCCTCCCAAGTAGCTGGGACCACAGGCACCCGCCACAACGCCTGGCTATTTTTTGGTTGCAGCCATCATTGTTGTTTGGCAAGCCTGGGCTGGATTCGAACCTGCCACCTTAGGTGTATGTGGCTGGCGCCTTAGGCACTTGAGCCACAGGCGCGAGCCTATGCTATATTTTGTAGTACCTTTTCTTTTTTTTCTTCTTAGATTATGAAAATTATGCTTCTTTCCCCTTCAGAAAAAATATTTATTTTTTTCTTACTGAAATAATACATGCCTATTATAAAAGATTCAATGTAGAAATATATAAGGAAAAGGTGAAAGATTTCCCCTTTCCCATCTCCACATTTGTTTTTGTTTTTGTTTTTTGAGACAGAGTCACTTTGTCACCCTCAGTAGAGTTCTGTGGCATCATAGCTTATACCAATCTCAAACTCTTGGCCTTAAGCGATTTTCTTGCCTCAGTCTCCCAAGTAGCTGGGACTACAGGCATCTGCCACAATGCCCAGCTATTTTTAGAGATGGCATCCTGTTCTTGCTCAGGCTTGTCTCAAACTGGCAATCTACCTGCTTCAGCCTCCCAGAGTGCTAGGATTGCAGGAATGAGCCACCGTGCCAAGCCTTCCACATTTGTTGTATAATCCTACCGCTCTCTCTGAATACATCTGCAAATTTATACACATTTATACATACAGATATACATGTACACACTTAAAGCCATCCTACGTAAATCAGATCAATACCATAGTGTGCTCTGTATCCTTTATACTCATTTACATCATTACATTATGGACAGCTTTCTACATAAATATATAGAGATCTATTTCATTCTCTCCTGTTCCCTACTGATGAAGGTGCCCTTTACTTACTTATATTTTTAAGCTTTAAATTAGTTTTTCTCCCATTGCTATAATTCCTATCTGTATGGCTTTTGTTGTTATAAATCTTTTAAATGTATAGAAAAGTAATATAGGGCATGTTAAAAAATATTTCACTCCAGAGTTCTTTCTGAGGAGGCAGAGTCTAATTAAAACCTATTTAAAAAATATTTAGGACAATCCATTGGGGTGGGAAAATATCATCTAATAATAGCTGCCACTATTGAGAATATCTTTTTTATAAATTTATTTATAAATATTTATTAAGCACTTTTTATGGGCCAGGCACTATTCTAGGCACCAGGGATATGTGATAAACTAGACAAGAAAGGTTCCCTCCCCTCCTGGATAATAAAAAATTATAGAATTTTAGATAATAATGCTGTGAAAAAAATGTTGACTTCAGAGGGGTTATTAAGGGATAGTCAAGAAAGGCCTTTCTGAGAAGACATTCGCAGCAGTATACGTACATTTGTTAATTTCACCCAAACACCAACCCAGTGATGTAAGAATTAGTATACATGTTTTATAGGGGAAGCAACTGGGGCTTTGAGACTTTAAATAGCAGGCCTAGAGTTTCTTAGTTTGTACATGATAAAGTTGGAGTTGAGACTCAGGTTGGACTGACTCAGACATTTAACATTTACATTGTTTGGGCTCTGCACCATGCTGGACATTTTACACACCCTGTGAGTTAGGTGTTAGGAACCCTAACTTCCTGACATAGAAACAAAGGCTTAGAAATCTTAATTCACTTGAACTCAAGGTTACACCATTAGTAAGGATTTATTTAAATCCAGGGCTGGCTTGGCGCCTGTGGCTCAAGCAGCTAAGGCTCCAGCCACATACAGCTAAGGTGGCGGGTTCGAATCCCCAGCCCGGGCCCACCAAACAACAAAGATGGCTGCAACCAAAAAAATGGCCGGGCGTTGTGGCGGGCGCCTGTGGTCCCAGCTACTTGGGAGGCTGAGGCAGGAGACTCGCTTGAGCCCAGGAGTTGGAGGTTGCTATGAGCTGTGATGCCATGGCACTCTACCCAGGGGGATAGCTTGAGGCTCTGTCTAAAAAAAAAAAAAAAAAATCCAGGGCTGACCCCAATATCCCTGCTTTTTCATTTACATTTCACTTGAGCTTTATGCATGAGTATTATTACACCTCTGTCAACTTCTCAGAGGCTTTTTTTTTTTTTTGCAGTTTTTGGCCGGGGCTGGGTTTGAACCCACCACCTCCTGCATATGGGGCTGGCGCCCTACTCTTTGAGCCACAGGCACCACCCCCAGGGACTTTTTTTAAATTTAAATTTTATTTTTTAAGATACAGTCTCCTTTTTTGACAATGCGAATGTTACTTTTTTTGCATTATTATTATTGCTCAATTAAAAAAAAGAATTGCATCATTCAAGTGGTTCATAATATCAACATGATTCATTAATATTGATAGGGTACTTAATTACTTGGTTAAGTTGATGTCTGCTAGATTTTTCTATTGTAAAGTTACTATTTTTCATTTTTACACTCTAGTAGTTGTGGAATTGGGAAATGCAAGACTTACAAGATGGGCTAGGAAATGCTTGATCCTTTGTTCTGCAAAATATTGTGTAAAATTGATACTATTACTTCATTAAATGTGCTAGAATTTACCAATTAAAAAAAAAAGTCACCCTAGGTAGAGTGCTGTGGCATCATCACAGCTCACTGCAACCTTAAACTCCTGGTGGCTCAAGCAATCCTCCTGCCTCAACCTTCCAAGTAGCTGGGAATACAGGCACGTGCCATGATGCCCCACTAATTTTTCTATTTTTAGTAGAGATAGAGTCTTGCTCTTGTTCAGGCTGCTGTCAAACTCCTGAGTTCAGGCAATGCTCTGGCTTTGGTCTCCCAGAGTGCCAGTATTACAGGCGTGAACTACCATTCACAGCCTATTTTTATTTTTATTTTTGAGACAGAGTCTCACTCTGTCTTCCTGGCTACAGTGCAATGGTGTCATCGTAGCTCGCTGCAAACTCAAACTCCTGCGTTCAAGTGATCCTCCCACCTTGGCCTCCCAAAGTGCTGGAATTATAGGTGTGAACTACCATGCTTAGTCCCGAGGACTTTTTGACTCATGGGTGTACCCTGCCAAATTTTGGACTGGTGACATGCTGGGTGGTAAAGGAATGACAGTTGTCACTAATTCTTTAGAGTACATTGGCTCACACTGCCTTACAGCAAGAAAGCAAGCCCTGAGGGCCAATCCCCTTCTTATTCATCTCTTTTCCTCTCTTGCAGGTACCTCCTTCAACTGTGGAGTACCTCAAGAAACAAGGCATTGATGTGCGCGTCCTCCAGACAGAGCAGGCAGTGAAGGAGTATAATGCCTTGGTTGCCCAGGGAGTCAGGGTGGGAGGTGTCTTCCACTCTACCTGCTGATGGAGCCTTAGAAGGAGAATAAATCACTGAGCAACTATGCCTGTGACTATCACTCTTAATCATTCTCCACACCAGTCTTCCCTAAGCAATTTTGAACACCTGTTCATACCAGGTCCATGAGCTAGGCATTTGGGATACACAGATGACAAAGCAAGTTCCTTATCCTTGAAGATGTTAAAAACCAGAAAAGGAATCAGATGTTTACCAAAGTTTAATACTGTGGTAAAGTATGAGAAACGTCAGACAAAAATAAAGCCTGTGCCTTGAAGGCCAAAGAAGTTTTAATGCTTTTTTTTTGCAGTTTTTGGCTGGGGTTAGGTTTGAACCCACCACCTCCCATATATGGGGCCCGGTGCCCTACTCCTTTGAGCCACAGGTGCCACCCAAGTTTATGCTTTTAAAGTCACATTTTAGTTGATGCTTTGGAATGTTTTAGGCTTTTTTGGAGGGGAAAGGGTTGTTTTTATGAGACAAGGTCTCACTTTGTCAGTCAGGCTAGAGTGCAGTGGCATGAACATAGCTCACTGTACCCTTGAACTTGTAGGCTTAAGTGATCCTCCCACCTCAGCTTCCCAGTAGCCCAGTAGCTGGGAGTACAGGCACTACACCTGATTGATTTTTTTTTTTTTTTTTTTTTTTTTGAGACAAAGTCTTACTCCGTTGTCTGGGCTATAGTGCCATGGCCTCAGTCTAGCTTACAGCAACCCCAAACTCCTGGTGTTAGCCTCTTGATTAGTGATTTTTAAAAAAAAAATTTTTTTTTAATTAAATCATAGCTGTGTACATCAATGCAATCATGGGGTACAATGTGCTAGTTTTATATACAATTTGAAATATTTTCATCAAACTGGTTAACATGGCCTTCACAGCATTTTCTTAGTTATTGTGTTAAGACATTTATATTCTACGTTTAGTAAATTTCACATGTACCCTTGTAAGATGCATCATAGGTGTGGTCCCACTGATTACCTTCCCTCCACCCTTCTTCCCCGCTCCCCTCCCTCTCCCCTTTCCCCATATTCTTGGGCTATAACTGGGTTATAGCTTTCATATGAAAGTTATAAATTGGTTTCATAGTAGGGCTAAAAAAGTTTCTTATGAAGGGCGGTGCCTGTGGCTCAAAGGAGTAGGGTGCTAGCCCCATATGCCAGAGGTGGTGGGTTCAAACCCAACCCTGGCCAAAAACTGTAAAAAAAAAAATTTCTTATAAAGACAGGGTCTTGCTATATTGCCCAGCCTGGATTTGGAATGTTTATTCATCAATCCAATTACGATTTTTTTTAGCATCTTATGTGCCAGGCACTGCTCTAGAGAAATAGCAATAAAGTCTCTTTTTGGGGTTTTTTTTTTTTTTTTTTTTTTTGTAGTTTTTGGCCGGGGGCTGGGTTTGAACCCACCACCTCTGGCATATGGGACCGGCGCCCTACTCCTTTAGGGCGCTTTACTCCTCCCCCTAAAAGTCTTGTTTTTATGAAACTTTTATTCCAGTGGGGAAAATAAACAAGTAAATAAGTATATAATGTAAGGAGAATCTGTTATGATGACAAATAAAGCAGGATAAGAAGACAAAGAGTGATGGGGGCTATTTTAGATAAGTGGTCAGAGAAGGGAACATCTGAGTAACATCTGTGCACTGTGAGTTGGTTTCTAGGCAGGCTGTTCTACTAACTAACCCTGAGACTAGAGCCAGGCAGTTATCTCTAGGCCTCAGATTCTCATTAAATGCTGGGGCTGGACTAGATGCCCTTTAAAGGTTCCTGCTGGCTCAGACAGTCTTTGTTCTATTAAATACCTAGGTGGCCTTTGTAAAGCTTTAGAATAGACTAAGAGAACTACAAGTTATCAGCATCACCTTTTTAATTTTTTTTCCTCTTTAAAGAGGTCTGAGCATGGCTTTGGTGTCAAATAGCCCTGACTCTGAACTACAGCTCTCTGCTGTTCACTGGTTTCATCTCTCAGAGTTTCACTGGTTTCATCTGTCAGATAGCAATAACATTAGTACCTCGAGTCACTATAGGTATTCAATGAGGTAATTCATAGAAAGTATTAGCTCACTGCCTGGCATGTAGTAAGGACTCAATAAATTCAAACAATTGTCATTATCTTTCTATTAATGGAGTTACTGTGTAAAGCCAACAATTATCATTTTATAGTTCTTAATATAGCAGCTTATTAGTTCATAGATTCATAGAATGTTGGAGCCCAAAGCAACTATTTCACTTTTTTATTCAGTAATTCTCTTTAATGCCCATTCACTAAGAGTCTATTACCAATTTTCTTAGGATTAGTTATTGCTGGGCCCCGGGGGAATAGGGATGAATAAGTTATAGTTCCTGCCCTCAGGAATTATATGAAACAGAGAAAAAACAGACAATAATGATATATTATATTGATTTTATAGAAGTTGCAAGGTCCAATGGTGGCACAAAGAAAAGACCGATTTATATCCTGCCAGGATGTAAGGCAAATTAGGGAAGCTTTCACTAAGGAGACAGCACTTAACCTGAACCTCAAAGAAGGAACTGTTCATTAATTCACTGAACATTTACATGTCCACTTTTAAACTGGACATTTACTAGATATGGTGTTTATAACAGCTGTAACTTTGAAGCTGCTCCATGCTAGCTATTGTTGAAGCAGCAGCCCTGGAAAGCTGAGTTTTGCTCATGTGATCATGGCAGGGGATTGGCCTAGTTAGGCATCTGACCTAAGGGAAGCCCATCCATAGACTGGATAGCAACTTAAGATGTGGCTTGGTGGCCAGGCGTGGTGACTCATGCCTGTAATCCTAGCAGTCTAAGAGGCCGAAACAGGTGGATTGCTTGAGTTCAGGAGTTTGAGACCAGCCTGAGGAAGAGTGAGACCCCCATCTCTACTAAAAGTAAAAAAACTGAGGCAAGAGAATCGCTTGAGGCCCGGAGTTTAAGGTTGCTGTGAGCTATGATGCCAGAGCACTCTACTGAGGGTGACACAATTAGAGTGGAGAGTGAAGGAATTTTTCCAAGATCACCCAGCAAGTAAGTGGCAGAGTCAGGATTCAAGCCCAACGTTGTGTTTTCTGGCATACACTTCCTGGCTCCTCAGAGGCCCGTGGAAGGCGCTTCTCCCAGCCTGACACCCAGCATAGAAGTCTGGGCAGGCCCTGCTTAGTACCCTTTCTGCATTTGTCATATGAGGATCTTTTTTGTTTGAGACAAGAGTCTCATACTATATGGCCTTGGGGTAGCTCATAGCAACCTTAAACTCTCAGGATCAAGCGATCTTTTGCCTCAGCTTCCTGAGTAGCTGGGACTACAGACATGGGCCACTATACCCAGCCAGTTTTTCTCTTTTTGGTAGAGATGGGATCTTCCTTTTGCTCAGGCTGATTTTGAACTCCTGAGCTCAGACAATTCACCTGCCTCTGCCTCCCAGAGTGCTAGGATTACAGGTGTGAGCCAATGTGCCTGGTCAGATGATAGGATTTTATAGGTCTGTTCCCTAAGCTCATAAAACCAACCCTCTATAACTAGGAGAGATGTTTGATAAAAATCAGACTATTTCTTTAGTGATGCAGGTTTTTTCTTTCAAATGTACAGTGAGACAGCTCCAGTGGGTGTTGAATTTAAGTGTGGGTGTAATCATTGTTCCTAAGTGAGTTGTCGCCAATTAGTACCACCTTCTTAGAGGCTATCAAACTTGTATAGAACCTCATGATTAGCCCCTACTTCTCAATCTGGTCCACATGGTCAATGTTGGAAATATACAGAGCTTGGAAAGAAGCTATTTTTCCACACAACCCTATATTTAGTCCTATAGATTGTTAAATCTTTTTGATTCAATTTTTTTTTTTTTGAGACAGAGTCTCACTATGTCACCCTCGGTAGGGTGCTGTGGCGTCATAGCTCACAGCAGCCTCAATAAAACTCTTGGACTTAAGTGATTCTCTTGCCTCAGCCTCCCCAGTAGCTGGGACTACAGGCGCCCACCACAATGCCCAGCTATTTTTTTTTGTTGCAGTTGTCGTTGTTTAGCTGGCTCGGGCCAGGTTTGAACCCACCAGCCTTGGTGCATGTGCCTGACACTGTAACCACTGTGCTATGGGCACTGAGCCTTGATTCAATTTTGGGGTAGCACCTCCCTCAATCAGCCCACACTTAATTTCTCCTAGTATAAAGGTTCCTAGGATAAGAAGTGCTAGGTGTGTATCTGTCGTCTCCATAATTGTATGCTGAACTCAATCTTACCAAAGGAAATCAAAAGCCCTTTTAGAAACTTGACTCTCAGGGCTTGCTTCTGCAGCATGCCATGCTACTGCTGGCTCTGCTCTTGATTCCTACATATGTTCTTTCTTTCCTTGCCTGGCACATGGTGAGAATTGTGCGGGGGATACAAAAACACAGACCTTTCTTACTGTCCTGACACAGATTATTAGGAAGAAATAGACATGTAAACATACAGTGATCATGTAGAGCAGGCGTCCTCAAACTCGGCCCACAGGCCACATGTGGCCTAACGGGACATTTATCCAGCCCACCAGGTGTTTTTGCCACTGCTGCCTGTCCTGGTTAGCAGCTAACTTGTCCTGGGGCCCAAAGTCCAGCCCTCCAACAGTCTGAGGGACAGTGAACCGGCCTCCTGTTTAAAAAGTTTACAGGCCCCTGGTGTAGAGGCTGCAAATGAGCACACATCTACCTGGAGACATATTTTCTCAGTAATTTTAAACTTTAGTTACCAAGACATTTTTTTTTTTTGCTGTTTTTGGCCAGGGCTGGGTTTGAACCTCTGGCATATGGGGCTGGCACCCTCCTCCTTTGAGCCACAGGTGCCGCCCAGTTACTAGGATTTTTTAATTGAGTATTTTTGCATGCAAATGCAGATTTCTGACTATTGTGGAGGAATGGGAAGGTCCAACACCACCAGTCCCACACTTGTAACTTAAAATAATTGAGTGGCACAGAATAGCAGCTGCCTTCTTGGATAGCGAACATACTCTCTGGCTCTTCACTCTACTATTACCTTCCTCTTGGATACTTTATTCCTGTGCTTTTTCTGCCTACCTTCTTTAGGGGTGTGTGTCTATGAACCTGCAATGCAATGATAAATACTATGCTTGAAGCATACACAGGAGGTAATGTTCCAAGCCCAGAGGAGGCACAGGTAGATTCTAGAACAGTTCTGAAGAATGAGAGGAAAAGAATCATAGAAGTCTCAAGGTCACATTCCAAGGCTCAGGAATCCAAAGGCCTAGAGGTGAGAGAGAGCATGGGGCGCTTTGGGGACAATGATGGGTAATCGTTCAGTAAGGAGCGTCTGGGAGAGGGAATCTAAGGCTGGAGAGAAAGCAGAGGCATGAAGAGCCTTCAAGGACAGTTTAGATTTTATCCTGGGACCAGTAGTGATCCACATAAAGGTGCTCAAGCAAGGGAATGATATGATCAGATATGGCTTTTAGAAAGACAGCTGTGTGAAGAATGGACCGAAGGGGACAAGAGCTGAGACAAGGCGATCACTGTGAGCTAATGCCATACTTGAGGAGAGATGACGGTGACCGCATCAGGATGGAAACAGTTGAGTATGAGAAGAGGACTGAGACGAATACTGCAGACAGCTGAATCCGAAGGGCTTGATAGCAGCTTTTATGTGATGGGAAGGAAGGAATTCAGTGTGACACATAGGTTTCTGGCTTGGAGTGCTGGGTGCCCACGTAGAACAGACCTGTTATGAAGCCACAGTGGGGAGGCCTGGGCCCTAGTCTTAGCTTCACCAGTAACTCAACTTCTGGGCATACACCTTCAAAAATCAAAACTCTTGTATCTCCCAGGACCTGAGAATTCAGGGTAAAAAGGATTTAAAAGATTGAGCCCAACCTCTTATATGATACTTGAAGTCCTTAGCAACAAACTTGTCTGGAGCTTGTTCAACCTCTGCTTAGACACATTCAGCCTGGAGGCTTCTGTAACCCCTAGTACACTCTATTCAATTCTTCCACAGCTTTTAAAATCTGATCCTGTTCCAGCTGTCATTCATAGCACTTACTTATCTTTAAAATTTTTTTTATTTTAATAGTAAGCCAAAATCTGCCCTTTGGTAGAAAAGTATTACCTTTGGGGTTTTAAGACAGGATCCTGGTTTGGTACCTTAGGACAGAGATACTACCTCAAAGCCTTTTTTCCTCACCTATAAAATGGGGGATAATCCAGTGACGACAGCCCACAACACAAAGTCCCAAAGCTGCAGATGCTGGTGTGAGTGCGGAGATAAGGGAACACTTATACCCCATTGGTGGGACTGCAAATTAATATAGCCTTTTTGGAAGGAAACATTGAGAATCCTCAAAGAGCTAAAGGTAGACCTTCCACTTGATCCCACAATCCTATTACTCAGTATCCACTCAGAAGAAAAAAAATCATTTTACTATAAGGACATTTGCATTTGACTGTTTAGCTCAACGCACAATTGTAAAGACGTGTAAACAACCCAAGTGTCAAACAACCCATGAATGGACAAATAAACTGTGGCATGTGTATACCATGGAATGCTATTCAGCTGTAAAGAAAGATGAAGATGGTGCAGCGCCTGTGGCTCAAACGGCTAAGGCGCCAGCCACATACACCTGAGTTGGTGGGTTCAAATCCAGCCTGGGCCTATCAAACAATGATGGCTGCAACCAAAAAAATAGCCGGGTATTGTGGCAGGTGCCCATGGTCCCAGCTACTTGGGAGGCTGAGGCAGGAGACTCGCTTGAGCCCAGGAGTTGGAGGTTGCTGTGAGCTGTGATGCCACAGCACTCTACCTAGGGCAACAGCTTGAGGCTCTGTCTCAAAAAACAAAGAAAGATGAAGACTTTACATCTTCTGTATTTACCTTGAAGGATTTGGAGAACATCCTTCTAAGTATCACAAGAATGGACAAGCAAGCATCCAATTACTCAATACTAACATGAAACTAGTAGATGAACAACTACACACCAACATGAGAGAGAAACACATTTAAATTCAAGGGGGGAAGGAGGCTTGGTAAGCTTTCACTTATCTGGTACAATGTAGGGGTACTTGGCACACCTGCTGGGGGAAGGACTCAGCTACAACTTGGACTTTACCTAACAAATGGAAACAATGTAACCTAATCATATGTACACTTACATTAATCTGAAATAAAGAAATATACAAAAATAAGAATAAAATGGGAGATAACTTGGAAGGATTTTTATTAAAAGGTGTACTGATCTGAAAAGTATCCAGTATTCTTCTCAGAAGGCCTATAATTACCGTGTGATGGGCTCAGTCAGCAGCTGTGGGTCTTAATGCTTTCATCCACACTCCAATCCAGCAGTCACCATCAGGTGTTTTTGTCTGGGCCACGGCATGATTCAGCCTGCCTATGAGCTGCATTTATCTTTAAGGCAGGCACCTTTTTCAGGGCATCTCTGCTATAGACATGTGAGAGCCCACCAGTGGGCTTTTGTACATCCCTGAGATATACAAAACAGGTGAGCACACTAGAAAAGTCAGCTCCCTGGAAGTAATCTTTCTTCCCCTAGCCCTTCTGTAACAGTCACAGCTTCCTGGAGGCAGCCTGCCTGGATTCAAATCCTAGATTTGTCATTTAGAAGTTGTGTGACACAGAGCAAATTACTTAAGTTCTCTGAACTTCAACTGCCTTGTTTATAAAATGAAGATAACAGTGCCGACTTCATAGGGTGGTTGTGAGCATTAACGGAGTTAATGTAAAGGGCTTATAACAATGTTAGGGAAAAGTACATAAACCGAAAGTCAAAAAGTTCTCTAGGTACCAAATATGATCAAAATTTGCTGCAAATTTAGATTCTACCAAGGATTATTTAATTCATCCTTTCAACAACCCTTAAGGTTAATAATGATCTCTATTTTATAGAAGAGGATTCTGAGGTACACAGAGCTGAAGTTTTGAAGGCTCTTTTCCATATACTTCCACTGAGGTGTGGGGCAGCTTAGACTTTTGGGATCTTCTTGGATTTGAATGAATACAAGCTTTACTATTTACGATGCAGTTTTCCCACCAGCGATTAATCTCTAAGCCTCACTGGGTGTTGTGAGGATTAAATGACAGGGAAAGCACATACCACAGGCCCTGCCACACAGGTTGACTTCTCTGCAGCACTGTTGTTACACTGCATTTGTGACTTTAGCCAAAATGCAGCACCGACTCATCAGAGATATAGCAGGAAATGACTTTATTTCTTACACTGGATCCCTCTTTTTCATAATCCTGATTTCTTTTCTACACTATGGCTTTCTCTGTTATTTTGGTAACAGACATAGAGTTCTAAGAATAAAGGCAGGCAAGGATGAAAATTATTCATTCTCTGGCTACTCAGCCAGTCCTGGACCCAGCTATTGCTGAAGTTAGGGAAGAGGCCTCTCAGCAAGGTAACAGCTGTCTGAAGTCCTCCCGAACTGTGGATGGGGAAAGCAGCACAGCTGGTAAAGCTGCGTGGAAGTTAGCCCTGGCAAACAGACTCTCACTTTAAAAAAAAAGATTATGGCTCAAATAATCGCTTCTTTGGAGGCAGCTGGGAAAGTGAATCTTTGTGTTTCACACCTGAGGCACATCATGTAAGCATGTGGTATAAATGCTGACGCTGTAACCATAGCAATCTCATAAAGGACCAGGAACTACAACAACTTGGTGTTTTCTCAACTTTATTTGCAGAAAGAGGAACTGGGGGGGATAGACTTGAAGATTTTTGAATTTTTCTTTTCTTTTGTAAGAAGAGATGGGTCTTACTCTGTTGTCCAGGCTGGAGTCCAGTGGCGCAATCATGGTTTACCACAGCTGCCAACTTCTGGGTTGAGGTGATCCTCCTGCCTCAGCTTCCTGGGGATCTGGGATTACAGGCCCCTGCCACCACTCCTGGTTAATTTTTAAATTTTTTTAGAGGTGGGTCTTGCTATATTGCTTAGGCTGGTCTAGAGCTTATAGCCTCAAGCGATCCTCTCAGGTCAGCCTCCTGAATAGCTGGAATGACAGGCACAAGCCTCTACCCCTGGCAGTTAATTTATCCTGTGTTTGATATCAAATGAGACTATAAGGGTCACCCACTCCTTTTGTCTACACACCACTTCCAGGTGAAATACTGTAGGCTGTGGCTCATTCTGATACCTAGGAAGGACCTTCTAGGCCATGGCTATACAGACGGCTTTTGCCTCAGCGCCTTGCAGGTTTGGGCATTATGTAAACTTTTACAGGCTTGCTGAAGGGGATGGTGCCCTCGATGCTGGTTTCCACCTGGGGTGACACCTCACCACTCTCGATCCAGAATTTAGGAATGCGGGCGTTGGAATTGTAGGCCAGAAGCAGCCTCACTTCCACCTGACATGGTTCTGGAAAAAAGACAAAAGAAATCATCTATCAGTAGGCAACTGAGGAAATGTCAACTAAAAGCAAAATCAAAAAGAAAGCAGTAGGGTTTCAAGGACATTTCCTCATCTCTCTGCATCCTTCCCTTCACTGAAGAGAAACACTTCCCCAGCCTAAATTCTACGAGCTGACTCTGATCCTGTGGATGTGATACTCCTCTGCCATCTCCTCCTTGGGCCTCTATTGGTTCCCTACAGTTCAGAGCACAGCTACTGAGACAGAGGGTGAACTCAAAACTGTTCTTCTCAGAGGCCTTTTGGCCTCAGGTGCATGTGGACTATTCTGGGACCCAGATAAGTGGCTCTTCCTGTGTACTTCAATCTCAAGCCTCAGGGTTGCATGGACCTCAGACTCTGCTTTCTTTTTTTTTTATGAGACAGAGCCTCAAGCTATCCCCCTGGGTAGAGTGCCATGGCATTACAGCTCACAGCAACCTCCAACTCCTGGGCTCAAGTGAGTCTCCTGCCTCTGCCTCCCAAGTAGCTGGGACCACAGGCGCCCGCCACAACGCCCGGCTATTTTTTTTGGTTGCAGCCGTCATTGTTGTTTTGGCGGGTCCGGGCTGGGGATTCGAACCCGCCACCTTAGGTGTACGTGGCTGGCGCCTTAGCCGGTTGAGCTATAGGCGCCGAGCCAGACTCTGCTTTCTTAATGGAGAAGGAAAGTTCACATAGAGAATGGTTCTGCTAAAATTCCTCACTAGTGAGAAGGAACATGTTTCGGAGGAACATGTTTCAGAACCTAACATCATGCTAGAAAACTTTCTTTCATTTACATTTTATTACACTGGTCTAGTGTCTATGTGACAGGGCTAGCAAGGGTAAATGAGGCCTACCCTCAAGTTGCTGGCTGTTTCGCTGAAGAGACAGAGACCGTGACAATTGCAGTGGAGTGCAGTCTGTGCCCTAATCAAGCCACTCAGAAGTACTGCAGAGGGAATACAGGAAGGCTTTGGGATAGAACCCCACCCTGTGCCAAGCATGCAGCCCTAGGAGTTTGTACTCCATCTCACCATGAAAGAAAGACTTAAAATCTTGGAAAAAATCTCAAGGCTCAGAGTTTCTAAGTGACTGCCCAAATCCACACCTATGATAGAATCTTTGAGTCCAGTTCATAAGCTAAAGTGATTAATCTTTCTATTAACCACATGGCTTCTATAGAGAAGGGGAAAGGATTTCAGAAAACCTAAAGGCAAGTGCAAAGGTCAGGAAGACAGTGAGCTTAGGATGTCTTCCTTAACTTAATTCAACTGGAGCAAAAGGTGGGCATATTGAAGATAAGCCCAAGGCTAAGAATTTTGAAGGCATCTAGATCAAAAAGGGCAGAGATGCTGGGTGTTGGGCTCACACTTGTAATCTTAGCACTCTGGGAGGCGGAGGCAGGTGGACTGCCTGAGCTCATGGGTTCGAGACCAGCCTGAGCCAGAGCGAGACCTTGTCTCTAAAAATAGCTGGACATTGTGGCAGGCGCCTACAGTCCCAGGTACTTGGGAGGTGAGGTAAGAGAACTGCTTGAGCCCAGGAGTATGAGGCTGCTGTGAGCTATGATGCCATGGCACTCTACCCAGGGTGACAAAGTAAGACTCTGTCTCTTAAAAAAAAAAGAAAAGAAGAAGAAGAAGAAGAGAATTTCCACCACAGAGTTGGTCTAAGGATTAGATGAATTTTTTATTGCATACTTACAAACCAAATATAATCTTATATTCAATTTTCATTATTTGTTTACTGCCTACTACATGTCAAGCACTAGGGATACAGGATATAGGATAGGGATACAGGACCAGGGTTAGAGAGGCAAATATGAGCAGGTGTCCTGCTCTAATGGAGCCTACATTGTAATGTGAGAGGAAGTCTGTAAACACTTAGGTGGGAAAACATCTGACACTACTAGTGCTATGCAGAAAATTAAAACAAGGATTTGTAATAGTAACTGAGTAGCAAGCTCTCAGCCTGACTATACAAAAAACAAGGTCTGCAATGAACAAAGATTCCCTGAGAGGAAATAGGCCTAGTGGCAAGAATCCTGAACTTGGGAGAGGACAGACTGTGTTCTCCTTCTGGCAATGACTTGGTGTGTGACCAAGGACAAGTCAGTAGCCTTCTCAAGACGTTTCACATTCTTTTGAGCTCAACATGCTATGACTTGTTTCCCTAATCCTTGTGCCTCTTATAATAAAGCTGTCCCACAGCATTTCCCCGCCCCATATCTAAGCCCATTCATCAGAAGATATCACAATAGGGAATCTAATTTCCTGTGGGGCTAATACTTTGGCATATGGTGCAAAAACAGGCCAGGAAGCAAGGATGTGGAATGAGGGATGTTCAGGGAAGCAGACCCTGGGTAAAAGCAACACTGGCTGCTCCTACAACTAAGTCAAACCCAGGGCCACTAGAACCCCACCGGGGCTTCCCCAACATTCAAAATCACCCCTTCCTTCTTGTAAAAGCATTAGAAAGTCATCAGTGCCCATCTAATATCCTTGACAGAGAGAAACCATTCATAATGGCATTAAAAAAATGTTTATATATTTAAAAACACAGAGCAAAAGAAAATTCCAAAAGACATACCCCTATTTCTAAAATAAGTCAAATTTGCTAGCACTAAACACCTTCAGTAACAGCTATGGTCCTGAATCAACTTCAGTGACTTAGGTAACCCTTCTCAGGCCAACTGTGCCCCATATTTTAGGTTTTACAGACTGGGTCTTTTTTTTTTTTGGCCAGGGCTGGGTTTGAACCTGCCACCTCCAACATATGGGGCCGGCACCCTACTCTTTTGAGCCACAGCACCGCTCCCAGACTGGGTCTTTTTTAAAAAAGTTTTCCAAAGCAGTCTTGCAGACTTGAAATGTACTGTCTTTTGCACTTGTATTTTCCCATTGGATTCTTATGGACTAAAAACTCTCACAATTAATTTGTAGATTGAGAATTCTCTTCATTTTGAAGGAAAAAGATTCAGAAAGGGAGAGTGACCAAGGTCACATAGCAAGTCAGTGGCAAAGTTAGGACAAGAAAATAGGTGTGTGGCATCCAAACCAGGGCGCTTTCCCTAAGACCGCATTCTATTATAATCTCCTGTGCATCTTCTAACAGAATTTTGTTCCTCATGCAATCAAGGCAGTGTAGCAAATTAGTCCAAATGTACCCAGTTGAGCTTATAAACTTCTTAAGTAATCAAAGTTCACTCCTTACTAATCCTTATTCAACCAAGTATTTTTCCAAACTCTAAAAGCCAAATGATAAGAGGTAGCCATGGTCCCCAAGAGCATATTTTCCTGCTCACCCTGGGCTCCTAACCCCTTACCTGTCCAGGCAGTGTGGGAGAGGTACACCTGAGTGATGAGCCGGTGCCGCCCTGGGCCAGGATTCCGGAAGTCTGCCGGCTTGGGGTGGATCATCTGAGCCTGGCCATCTGGATATAAGACCTAAGAGGTAATAGAAATGAGAAAAACAGGCAGAAAAGAAATGAGCTTTTTTCTTTTTTTAGGCAGACTTTCACTCAGTTGCTCTGGGGTTGAGTGTCGTGGTGTCATAGCTCACAGCAACCTTAAACTCTTGGGCTTAAGTGATCCTCTTGCATCAGCCTCCCAAGCAGCTGGGACTACGGATGCCCACCACAATGCCCGAATATTTTTAGAGATGGGGTCTCTCTCTCCTAAGCTCAAGCAATCCACCTGCCTCAGCCTTCTAGAGTGCTAGGATTACAGGGGAGAGCCACCACACCTAGGCAAGACAGATGAGCTTTTAACAAAATTGAGGGTGACATCTGTCGTGACCCCCCAAAATAGAAGAAAAATGACATCAGCCTTCATAGGGGTAAAGACTGCTCCTTGAGGGGAGGTCAACACTATATACTCCCTGCCCCAACACAAGGCAGTGTACTGTAAACACTTCCTGAATTCACGGTGAATGAGTGATAGGAACAGAGTGACTCGATTAATCAGAAGGACAGGTAGGAATATGTGGCATTAATTCTGACCTTGAAAAGCCTTTTCAGGCACAGGCACACCCATCAGAATGATTTTCCCTCCCTGGCTCTGAATCATATCATGGCCCAGCATCCATTACCAACTACCATGTATTAAGAGCTACTTTGTAACTGTATTCTCCCCACTGCATTTCAAGCAGCTAAGAAGTCATTTATCTGTCTCCTTGTGTAGAAAGAGTCCTCAATGAAAAGTCTGTTCCAATCACTGACCACATCTTCAAATCTTACAAATTGCCACAAAGTTCTTTCCTCGGGGTGAGAGCTCCTGGCTACCTGTATATAGGGCCTATTACACTGCACTGTGTACAGATGAACTTAGAGGTACAAAGGAAGTTATCCCAGAACCAGACAGGACCTGGACTACATAAATGTAAACGCAGAGTAGGGAACCACACAGGTCTTTCAACTTTTTTTTTTTTTTTTGCAACAAGAGTCTCACTTTGTTGCCCTGGAGTGCTCTGGTGTCACAGCTCACAGCAACCTCAAACTCTTGGGCTCAAGAGATCCTCTTGCCTCAGCCTTAGACTGTAGGCACCCAACACAAATTTTAGAGATAGGGTCTGACTCTTGCTCAGGCTGATCTAGAACCCCTGAGCTCAGGCAATCCACCTCCCAGAGTGTTAGGATTGCAGGTGTGAGCTACCACACCCGGCCCAGGTCTTTCAACTTTTAAAACTGTGGGTGGCATGTCTCGGCCCACTTACCCATAATCTTTGTTTGCCCTTCCTCTTTTAAGTCTTGGAGCTTGCCCTCCAATACTACCCATATTTCTTAAAGCTGCTACTCCCCACTTTAAGTAATACTTCCCACTTTATCTCCAGGCTCCATGCTCCCAAACCCACTACAGCAGAAAGGAGAGGTATCCCAGTTTTCTGTTCCTTATTATTATTTTTTTTTTT